AATCAACTCCAAGAGATGAGATAAAGCTCATCTTAAAAATGAAATGATAACAGTCTGATACAGACTCGACACAAACTGAACAATATAGATTTTATTGCATGGCTGTTGTACTGTCGTTTCAGATAAGTGGATATAATAAATTGGCAACTAAGTGTATTAAGCAAAAACACATTCAGACAGTCAGGCAACACCTTCAATACAAATATGGAAGTAATGATAGTAATGTAGTATAAAAATATACAGATGACGCTGATAAAAGAAGAGAAATAACTGCAGTTGTTTTAAATATCCATACACATCTAGAACTAGTAGTTTATATCTAACAGTTTCAGACGGACATCACTGACTTGGATTCGTGTGTTTCAAGTAAATTGAGTCAGTGTTCAGATGAAGTATATTTTGTGGTTCTTTGGTCTGTGACTCTGTCCCTCTAACCAGCCTGCCGGATTTATAAAACTGCTCCAGGATCCATAAAGCGCCCAATAAACCACTTTTACTATTAGTGTAGGACACTGCTAGCATTAAGCTTGTGACCGCTACCACTGACCATATACACACACACATACACACCACACACACACACACACACACACACACACACACACACACACACACACACACACATGCTGACACAGAAACACACAAAGACATGCAGGGACAGTCACACACTTCCTGGTCTGGTCAAATACATTTTGATGGCTTCTGGAGTCAGGACCTCTGCCAAACTCTAACCCCATGTCACCCCACCCTGCAGCCCCGATGACATCACTGCATAGCCCCTAACCAGTGGCCCAGAAGGGCCTGAAACCCACACACATACACACATGCAGGCGACGAGATTGCGGAAAGCAAAGCCATTATAACGAACACCACAGGGTCACATTTTCAGTGCAGGAACACACACACATGCAGAGCACTTGACCATAATGACTACTGCACAGCCGCACTGTATTATAAACACACACATACACACACACACACACACACACAACAGGGCAGCCTAAGTGCAGGCTGCTGCCCCTGAGTTAAGTTGTCAACTTGTGTTATAGTTTGTTTTCAAGAAACATTAAGGTGAATATGAGAAAGAAAGGCCGGAGGCTACAGTATTTAGAACTCAGTTTTGTTAACAGTGGAAGTAAGGCCATCATCTGCATATTGTCTACACTTTAGTTATGTTTAATCTATAAATACTTTTGGCAATCGGGGTGGTACAAGGTTGTTAATTTTATTTTCATGCCTACAAGACATCTTTAAAAGCTCTCTAAATACAAGACTTAGAACATGACAAGCAAGCTCACTTTTAAGGTTGATGGACTTTAATAGAAACTCACACTGGTCTGCCTATCGCTCTGTTTTGCTTGAAAATGAAAAAGGCGTAATAAAAAGGTAGCACTGGTCTATTGAAGAACCAAGACCCAGAAAATGTTGGGAGTTTGGGCTAAAAAGTAGACTTTAAAGCAGGAATTGTGGAGAAACCAGCAGGAGAAATGATGTTAACGAGGTGAGAACTGCCTCACTAGAGCCCACAGTCTTTATTAACCAAAATGAAATGACAATTTCAACAGATATTGCCAAATAAATCCAAAACAAGTGCCTACATTTAAAGCAAAACATCAACTACCATGTTCAAGGGGATCAGAAAAAAATCGAAACTTAAAATCACGTTGGGCTTTTTCTCTGCCATGCACCAAAGACGAGACGGTTACAAAGGCAAACAGACACTCCACCAGGAGTGGACGTGTTAAACCAAGTGGCCCTATACTCTGTCTGGAAGGAATTCTCAGGATTCAAGTTAGCCAATCAGACACCGGCATTTACAACGCTCCCTGTTCAACTTGAGAGCTGGAGAGGCCATCCTCTTCACACGGACCACCGTCTGTGAGTCCATGTTAAGTCATTAGGGCTCCCAGTGGGCTAAAATACACACTCACATAACACATCCTCTGTCAGAGACCCCCAGGCCTCCATGACTAACATGCAAATGTTCACATGATTATGACTCCTATTCTCACGGTGTTTATGCAGATTTTTCACTTAAGAGCTTTTTTTAAATGTGTTTTTTTTTTTTTTTAAGGCTAAACTACTCCCTTATTTTCAACTCCATTGTGTCTGAACATATGTAGCACACACTCGGACTTTACAACACACTCTTCGAGGACCTCAAGGGTCCATTGATGCTTGCAGACACCCCATCTTCTCAAATATCTAGCGTGGAAAAACACACACATACACACTTACCCCACTTTTCCCTAATTACAGAGCCCCCGAGGGACGAAACACTCAGGCAGCACTTCACTGTTTAGGTAAAGAAAAGGTCTCTCTCACCAGACAGACAAACAGACAGACAGAAACAGACAAAGGGCAAAGAAAAAAAGAAATGAGGAAATGTTCAGAATACAGATTTCATGACTGTTTCTTTTTTGTAAACTTTCGTTGCATTACTCTGGTATGATTTGACAATTTGGAGCTAAAGCTGGATTTTTAATGGGAGAAAAAAAATGTTTTGGATATGACAAGGGACAGAAGTTAAAGATAAACAAAAAAGAAAAGAAAAGTCCCAACCCAAACAGCGAGCGGGAGGACAGAGAAAGAGCAGAAGTTGACTTAGTGGACAGGCGGGGAGGAGGAAGAGAGATTATCGCTCTCTAATGGCTAACTTGTTGACAGCAACACTTTTCACCACCTCTATCTACACATCTAATGTTACTATCTGCCCTCCTCACTCACACACACACACACACACACACACACACACACGCTTTATCTCCTCTTGCAGGGTTTATCAGCTCGGCTGTCAGTCTGCTCTACAGCTCAGGTGGGTTTCAGACTCTAAAATGCACAGAAAGTGCAAAGCAGAGACGTCACCGCCAGAGACGTCACCGCCAGAGACGACCGCAGCTTCCTGTCTGCACGACTCACATCATGTGTTGAAAATGAACCTTCAAAACACAACAAGATTCAAAAAGAGGAATCAAAAGTCTGATTGCACTTCTCTTAAAAAGTGTACATGCTATTTCTTTGTGCCACACAGACATCTCGCTTTGCATTTAGGGAATGTACATTCCAGTCTTTTCCTTCTAAAGTTGAGCTACATTTCCTTTTTTTTTTTTTAACAGGCTTTTTTTTTGCTCTTCATCTCAGTGTCACTGCTCTGTGAAATTAATAAGACAAGTTAAAACATATTCATTTATGTTCTAGTGATTACATCGATCAATTCTTTGAAGTTATTACGAGTATTTGGGCTTAATGTGCATGTGGAACAAACCTTTTATAAATCTAGACAGATTCTAGCCCATGTTTATTGAGTCAATGGGTGTGTTTGTGGAATGCCCTGCGGTCAAATATATATGTAGTGCTTTAATAGTGTCTTCTGATCAGTGGATGTAAGAATACCAAAAAAGAGGATATGAACTGACCTCCACAAATACTTTACTTACATGAGTATAAGCCCACAATAAAGACACGTTAAGGTTGGCCAACAACAACACATTGTCTCAGGTTCTAACCTGCGCTCAACAGAAAAGTCTCACTTTTACCATCAAACAGGAGATATATGATGATAAGGTTAGACTTAAGCTTTCTTTTGTATTAGTACCATTGTGTACCATTAGTAACATTCCTTGAAGTTGTAACAGGAGCCGCTGTGATGCAAAGAAATGTCAGACATTGACAGCAGTGAGTCAATGCTTACAAAGTCTTTTCCAGAAATCTGATCAATTCGTTTATATTTAGCAACACTTAGATTCATCCTGTCAATAAAAAAAACATTTTGAATATCTTTGGGGGAAAAACAGACAAAACTAAAGTTTGCCAAAGAAGATTAGAGCATCTTAAATTCCCCTTCATGTTTCTACAGATGTCATCAGAAAACACATCTTTGAAATTACAAACTTACCACCATGAACCCACTTCTTGTTTGGGAGTTCCATAGATTTGGAAGTTCCTGAAAAGTACTTTTCTATGACTATTACTGTTATTGGAATATAGGCTTTCTTCTCAGTGTCATCTAGACAATTGTGATAGGTCTACTTGTCAAATTCAAAATGAAGTTCTGTATCATACTTCTTTGTGTCAGAGTGAAGTTATAGATGCTAGACTCAGCCTGTGGCCCAGATGAAGGCAAAGCAGCGACTTTCTCCACACTGAGAGAAACATTTGTGCAACTTTTCGACCAAAATAGTCCTGGTCTGCACCGCAGAGCGAGAGAGGCTGCCTTCATTTAGGTCGATGGGGTTGGCAGATCTCACACACACACACACACACACACACACACACACACACACACACACACAACTGTCATATGGGAGCCACAGTCATGAAATAATCCCATTCCGTAAGTAGACTGTGACAACGGAAACATTGTGGGGACAAAAAGTCTACAAGTTCAAATTATGAAGGAAAGTCAAGAAAAAAATCCACTTGATCAAGTTCAAACCAACTTTTCCTGATCCATCTAAACCCAACAAGTCCATAAAACGTTTCAAAGCAGCATGGGCAATCAACAGAACATTTTACAAACACCAACAATGTGGCTACAAGCTGTTAAAGGTTGTAATAAATGTGTGTAACTTCAAAAAGTGATGGGTAGTAAATCCCGCATCTAAAACGTCTTAAACATGTCTATAATAATGTTTAAAGATACACACATTACATGATTAATCGATTAATCAGTTGTAAGACAATTAGCCAAAAACTAATACCATGATAGACGAATTGTCAAGGAGTCACTTCTTTTTCAGATGTTGGAAATGAAAAGTGTCTGGATTGTGTGGTTGACATTTTTGGATTTGGAACATTTGGATTAAAAATTTAGGATTGATTGCGAAACAAAAAAAAGTCTACCATGCAGAATAATAGTTCACGAAATGAAGCGTTTGTGCTTTATTTACAGATTGCTCCATAGTGTGTATTTATGATGCATCGTCCTCCCTCTACTTTGTGATACTGTTTGGAAAACTTTTCTTGAAAGTATTCACAAAAGGAATTGAAGCACTTCTTACCTGTTTGGAGCTTGAATCTAGCTGAGCTCTTCAAGAAAAGTTTCTCCTCCCCACCATCTGACGCGCTCAAGTCCCAAAAAATGAGTCTCTCCTCCCGGCTGGGAAACTGCAGACCGGTCGTTGTTTCTATGGAAAAGGAGGGGGGGACCTCCAGGCAGATAGCAGACCAGCTTGTTCCAGAGATCTCACTGTATGACACAGGTACAAACTTCCTCCACTTCTCGATTAAACTTTACTGATCAAGCAACACGAAAAGCCCCGATATGAGTCCAAAAAGTCGATTTATGGGAGTGCATGGAGGTAAAAACTCCAAGGACCAGTCAGTGCCCAAAAATCTCCAAACTCTTCATGTAGTAACGTAGAAACAAAGTCAGAGCCAGCGGTACGAGCTCCTTGTTTTGGACGCCTGTGTGCGCGGTGTCCTCGGCAACAGGTGTCAGAAATAAAGTGAGATTTCTTCATAGCCATCACAAGTTTCCTAAAGCTCTCTGGCTCATTACGCACGCAGTGAAAAGGAGGTAGTAGTAGCAGGGAGGGAGGGAGTTGGAAGATGCCTGCGAAAGTTTGAACGCGTCGAGAAACACGAGCGAAAAGTTTTAGCCACTGAGACTGACAGAGAGAGAGAGAGAGAGAGAGAGTAACAAAAGAGCTCCACAAGTTCAGTGTGTTTCTGTCTCTGAGCCGTGTGACGGGTCAGCTCTGCTCTGATGTGGAAAGTGCGCGCCTGCCCACAGCTGGAGAGAGAGAGAGAGAGAGAGAGAGAGAGAGAGAGAGAGAGAGAGGGAGTTGTTTCAGAGAAGAGAAAGGTGTTGCCCTTGACGGTTTACAGGGATTAATCGTGAGGTTTAAAAAAAAAAAAAAGTATTGTCAGGAGTGGGATTTGAACCCACGCCTCCATGTGGAGACCAGAAGTCCCTTTAACTCAGGAAGGAGTCAATCCTTGAGTCTGGCGCCTTAGACCGCTCGGCCATCCTGACTGACACTAAGTGACAAGTTTGATGTATTTCGATCACCTGCATTGAAAAAGTTTGGTTCTTCTTGAATTATAATGGTTTAAAAAGACACGAAAGAAAAAGTGAATATAAAACCAGCAATGTGATAACTGTCAATCAACTCAAGCAATCTCACCTGAGCAGCTGCTTCAGTGTCAACAGTCACTTTACTTACCTGATTCTGTGCTGATTGTCATCTTCTGTATGGAGTTTTTTCAGGAAGCTCAGGACTCTCAGGAAGCAGTCGGTCTTTGAGTCTGGCACCTTGGACATCCTGACAAGTGACCAAAAGCAAAGTTTGAAAAAGGTTAATCGTTGGTTTTGACCTTTACAAACCCTGTTTGCGTGTTAGAAGCGCAGGAAACCCTCTGACCCTTGACAAGCCACTTTTGGTCACAGATCATATATGAAGGTATAATAGATGTCAGGAGTGGGATTTGAACCCACGCCTCCATGTGGAGACCAGAAGTCCCTTTAACTAAGGAAGGAGTCAGTCCTTGAGTCTGGCGCCTTAGACCGCTCGGCCATCCTGACGATGAAAGATGGCTTAATGAATCTATGATGTGAACTGATTTGACCTGTTTATGATTTTAAAGGATTATGTAACAGTAATTTGTCCTTTCTTGTTACAAAAGTAAAAGCAATAAGAACTTGTCTTACACTTAAACTATCAATCTTTACATATAAAATATATTTCTGTAAAGATGTTGCCAGGAGTGGGATTTGAACCCACACCTGTATGTGGAGACCAGAAGTCCCTTTAACTCAGAAAGGTGTCAGTTCTTGAGTCTGGCGCCTTAGACTGTGTGACCATACTGACTTTTAAGTGTCATGAAGTTTGTACAGTATCTGAAAAAGTGCATGGAAGGAAAAGTGTGAGCTTACATTGCTTCTTCAAAATGCCTCCCAAAGACTCACATAACTTATATAATTACGTTCCAATAAATTATCCAAAACTAGGCAAGTTTAACGAAACACAATCAGATAATAAAAAAACAGCTTTGCAGAGGCATGCAGATCGCAGTTATCCATGTAATACATCACAATGACACTCAGAACCTGACATCATTTTACATGTCTTCTTCCATTTTTCAACATCTGACTCAACCTTTAATTATCTCGTTATGTCCCTTCAACTTAGTCTGAAAACATCTCTACAAAAGTTTGGTCATCACTCAAGGTAAAATCTGTCAGGAGTGGGATCTGAACCCATGTCTCCATCTGGAGATCAGAAGTCCCTTTAACTCAGGAAAGAGTTAAACCTGAGTCTAGCACCTTAGACCGCTCAGCATACTGCCTTTTAAAACTTATGAAGTTTTTAGAATATCTGAAAAAGTGCATGGAAGGAAAAGTGTGCGCCAACATTGCTTCTTCAATATGCCTCCCAAAGACACATGGCTTAATCGATTTAATCTGTGAGATTGATATTTTGCATTCAAAATATAAGAACAAATGAGTTTGATTTTAAAAATCGGATTATTGACTTTAATACACCTCATCTGTACAGCAGCAGTTAGGGTAATAATTATGTTCAAATTTCCATCTTTCATCGTCAGGATGGCCGAGTGGTCTAAGGCGCCAGACTCAAGGACTAAATAAAAAATCAGTTCACATTAGATTCACCAACAACAATTAATTCTGTTGTGTAAAAACTTCATAAGATTTAGAAGTCAGGATGGCCAAGTGGTCTAAGGCTCCAGACCAAGGACTGACTCCTTCTTGAGCTAAAGGGGCTTCTGGTCTCCACGTGGAGGCATGGGTTCAAATCCCACTCCTGACACAGCTTTTAGCAGCAGCGTTTGTTGTGTATATATAAATGTTACCTGACCTGTTTGTGCACTCTGAGTTAACTTCTGACTAACTCAGCTTCAGGTGTTCACAAATTCTATCTGTAAGCAAAATAGATTAAAAGGAAACTTTGACAAAGGTTAATCATTAGAAGTGCAGAAAAACTCCCACCTTTGACAAGCAACTTTCAGTCATCGATAACATTTGTCAGGAGTGGGATTTGAACCCATGCCTCCATGTGGAGACCAGAAGTCTCTTAAACTCAGGAAGGTGTCAATCCTTGAGTCTGGCACTTTACACCACTCAGCCATCCTGACAAGTCACCAAAAGTAAAGTTTGTCAGGCTTGAGTTTACATTGACTGGTTGATGTAGTTTGCTATAATGACTTCAACGTTTTCACTATTCTATAAAATGAGAAAGAAAAGCAGGCATGACATCTGTTTGTCTGTGCTGTGTCAACAAGAATTTACTTTTCCATGTTCAAAGGTTCAACTCCACTAAACTTCAAACAAGCAGTTAAAAGAATGTCAGGAGTGGGATTTGAACCCACGCCTCACATGGAGACCAGAAGTCCCTTTAACTCAGGAAGGAGTCAGTCCTTGAGTCTGGCGCCTTAGACCGCTCGGCCATCCTGACAGGGTGTGGTACAGAAACAGGATTACACTTCTGCTCAAATTGGTTGTTTTACAGTAAAGAATCCCATAAGTGACTTCTTTCCCAAGTCCTTTATGTCCTTGTCACTTGTTCAGACAAAGCAGCATGTGCGCATCGTTCTGTGGAGGCAATAATAGTCACAGGAGTGGACAGACGAGGGGATGAAAAGGAGATTAGGAAAAGTTCTTCAGTGTTGCTGGATGTTTGGACTGTCAGCGGGTAACAGCTTATTTTAGCAGCTCCACTCCTCTCACATTGTTTTTATTTCCTCTCCAAAGTTTTTCCTACTGCTCGCTGCCTCCTTCTGTCCCTTCCATCTCGCCAGCTCTCTCCATCTACTCCTCCCTCCCTCTCTCCCTCTTTCCTCCGGCGTACCACCTACAGTTCATTTACTCTACAAACCATTTATGAGAGAAAATAATGTCAAATCTATTTGCAAAATCTTAAAATCCAAAAGCAACAAGCAAAAACTTGATGACTTCAGACCACAACTGAAATAATCAGGCTTGAAAGATGTAATACAAACTGAGTGTGTTTCAAGTTTGTTTGTTTTGGTCTTGCCCTCTCTCTCTCTCTCTCTCCCACCCTTGCCTCCTCTCTGTTTTCTCTCCCTCTCTCCATCACCCTCTCCCTCTTTTTTCTTCTCACTCATGTGTGATGTGATGTGTGATGATTGAAACCACATCTACCCAAAGCCAAAGCGAGCCCTCCCCGCTTCCTCTGCAGTCACTCACTTTTTATTCCTCCTCCTGGTCCCTCCTGTGTCTCAGTGCTCCACTGTACAGTGCATATATACAGTATATATGGAAACGACTGCAAGTAGATCTATCTTTTACTGCACACGTGTTTAAACGCTATCTTAAGGACATCTGTGTTTTTGTGTGTGGTGAGCGCTCGATATCAGCACGATCTTATCCAACACTTATCTCTGCAAAGGAAGGTGTGTGTGTGTGTGTTTATGAGACAGAGGGATCCAAACGAGGAAACTTTAGCCTTCCATGAGGCCAATCAACACTTTTCAGGCTGAAAAGGAAATCTGGTCGTTTTTTTTAATGTGCTTTTTTTATTAGACACTTCTGGGTCTAAAGGGGCCAAAATTGTTTGTATCAAACGAGTACATTTCCTCTGGCAGCATCAATGAATCATGTTCATGCCACTTTCAGGCTTAAATATTTACTCAGAGTGTCTGACAAGAATACAGAAAGACCCCTTTGGAGATTGAGTTTAGGAATAATATGCTTTGTTTAAACCAGAAACAGCATTAACATTGCTTGTCTTCAAATACACCAAACTACATTGACAAAAAATAATTGTTTCTCCATGCATTTCTGGGCTACAGTTGCCTCGATGTCATAGTCTTTTTAAGAGTGTGACATCTGTGTTTTAAATAAGAAGTTTGGACTCATCACAATATTTCTATGACACACAATCACAGAATAAAAGTGTAGCATGTTGAGGCAGCAGCAGACAATGGACCTCTGTGTTCTGCACTATAAAAATGACTGGAGTCTGGTGTTCTTTTAAAACAGAAGATAAAAGGGCTGATTCTGATTTTCTTTTAAAAAGAAACATTTTACTCTTAAACAAAAAGGTTCTTTTCAGTTAGAATCATATGTTTAGTGTTTATTGACATTTTAAATCAGTTTTGAGCTTGTTAGTGGCAAAAAATTGACTTATAATGTTATAATTAAACCTCGTGTATTTGGCCTCAAGGAATACATTTAAGCTATTTCAGCTTGTTTTGTGGCTGCTTGCTGGAGCGATCGACTACAGCAATTTCAAAACTACTATATATATGTAATATATATCTCCTCCCATCTGGTGCTCACAGCCGGATAAAACAAACACAAGTGCAGTGTATGAAGCTCATATTATTTTCAAAGTGCACTGTTTTGGCATCTTCTATACAAAGACATTTATGTACTTTCGTTTGGTGTGTAAATATATTCATTGTTATGAACGTAGTTCATGTCTGTCAGTGATTGCACATGTTGACAGAGGCATGTTTCAGAACATTGAAAACACAAACAAAAAGTGAAAAAAAGAAACAGATCATGGGAAGTGTACTAAAAGGAAACAAGATGTCATGTATATTTGGGCACATATTCAAGCTGTGAAGTAAAATTGGGCTTTCTGAAGTGTCCCATGATTTTTCATCATAATCCAGTTTCTTTCATGGTGATGTTCTGCAGTTAACAGTGGAATAAAATCTCAGAGGGGTTGAGTACTGAGTGTTTCTGGTTTGTCACTTAAACAGTATTAAGCTTGGCTTAGTTCACAGGATTTGAGCATCTGAAGGAAATCAGAAGCAGAATTTAAATTAAATCCTGCAGCTAATGGATGTCTAGAATTCAGAATAAGATATATAGCTAGAAGAACTGTACTTCTTAGACTGCATTTTGAGTAAATATATACGACATATATTCTCGTCTTTGACACATTTGTAGTGTTCAAACATGTAGTTTGCATTCTTGCATGAAGGCTAAAGGGAAGTCTGATCTGTGTGAGTTATAGTACAGACAAGAAGATGAAATGATGTCTGGTGCACGGTGAGTTGTACCTCCACCTCCTCCTCCTCTATCTCCCTTCCCTCGCTCTCTTTCTCCATCACATAAATCAGGGAGTCGTACATGCGTATCTCTTCCTCCTCCTCCTCCTCCTCCTCCGTCCATCTCTGCTGCCTCCCTCCACTGGCTTTTATTGGGACAGTAGATGGAGAAAGCAGAACACAAACCCAGGTAGCGACACAAAGCGTTGCCATATGTGATGTAAACACCCGGCACATATGCAGCCTTTACAGACTGCCGAGGAGCTGCTCCTCAGTGTGTCTGATGGATTTTTATTGTGTGAGAGAAACAGGAAGACCCTGACGGCCTGATGATGTTTTCACTGTGTTTGAAAATTCTTCACACAGGAGGTCAGGGATCAGGTCAGCGTCTGGGTTCAAGGTCAGTCCAGCTGGGTGGGTCTGTTAAACCAGATTTTACAGTTGAATGAGCCAACCAAGTTTTGAGATGAGCTGCTGACATATGCAGGATGTAAACTTCAGGAAAGTGTGTACAGTTGTTTTTTGTAAATGCTGCTCATGGTGAATTCATATTGGGTCTTTGTAAATAATATAACAAAGAGGACGGTCTGGACCTGCTCTTCTTTGTCAAGTGTATTGAGAGAACTTTTGTTAGGAATTTGCGCCACACAAATAAAAAATTGATAGCATGATAATGCAAAAATCTTGGTAGGATATTTGGAAGCTCGATCCAAAAGGCACCTGGATTTGGATAAAAAGGTCTTGAAGTGGTTTCACCTCTCCTCTGAAAGGCTTCCACGGGTCTCAAGGCGCCTTTCAGAGGAGAGCTGAATCGTCTTCAAGGCCTTAAACCAAGTCCAGGTGCCTTTTGGATCGAGCTTCAAATTACGATGACCTGGATGACTGAAAACCTACACAGATACTTCTTAGGAAAGTTAAGACACTGACAAGCTTTTTAACTACATATTCAGTATTCTGACTTCTGATACCGTGTTAAGACATTTGCTGCGAGTGTTATACTGGGAGTTGATTACTTTAATTACTTTCAGGACCACCATAATGTAGTACAACAGTGTGACTGAACAAGCCAAGTTGAACCTGTCTATAATAGTCTGACTTCAGCTCAGTGAATTGGAAACAATGAACTTTTGGATGAGTTGTTGGACATTTAAGGCAATATGAATGGCTTCACTAAGTGTGGTTGTGTGCGTCAGTGTGCGTCAGTCTGTGTGTGTGTGTGTGTGTGTGTGTGTGTGTGTGTGTGTGTGTGTGTGTGTGTGTGTGTGGGGGTGGGGGGGTTTGCGGGTAGGAACAGGATGAGGCCTCCGCTGTGGAATAATGTCATTATTGTGGGCGGATAGGAAAATAAACCACAAGTGACAAGATAAGAAGCACAGTTTAGTCTGCGTGTGCAAGAGGGAGATAAAGACGGGCAGGGTGAGGATGGAGGGGGTCAGGAAAAGTTTGGAAATGAAACAAAGGACATTTCAAGCTCTATAGTTTCTTTTTATCATTTAAACTCCAAAAAGGACAAAATAAGCTCATATCTAACAGACAAGTCGTGTGTGAAGTTGTTTGTGAGTGAGGATTTATCTTCTTGAGAAAAGCCAAATCCAGATCCCCCTAAAGTGAGACTGCGTGTACCTTACGTGCATGCAGAGCGCTGAGTGGTCACAAGCAGCACATTTCTCCTCTGTAAAGGGTCTCACTTCAAACACGGACGCAGCTCTCACCTGTCAAATATCTGACCTGAAATGACAGACAGAACTTCCCCCTTTTCACAATAAAATGAACAATTATGTCATATTTTATTCCATTCTCTTCATTCCCATTTTCAATCCACAACAAAGTGTTGAAGGCCATCACCATTCCCACCGTGACAAAACTGCATCAGCAAAAAACATAACATAATGAAATACTGGATTTTAAACACAAGCTCATACTGGGTGGAGTTTCATTCCAAATGAGAACCATTGAGATGTTCCAGGGATCATTTTCATGATCATTGAAACCTTTAAGCATCTGGAAACAGGTGACATTTGGTGAAAAAGGTAGAATGTTTTGGATTGAAACTCCTCATTTACACCCATGTGACTTATTTAAAACACAGTTAAAGTGCCTCTTCAGAGCGTCTCATGACAGGGTGGAATCAGATCTGGGTCTGCAGTTTGAAGTTTCATCTTTAGGCTTCGTCTCCATCCTGCACTTCTGTATGCAGGTTCATAACTCCCATCTCTGCTAAAAACATAAACACCGGAGGAGCTTTGATCTGAACCTGAAACAGCCTGACCCTGTAGTGCTCGGTGCCGTTAGCGGTTTAATTCATGCTAAAGCCGTCTGCACTGTTGGAAACATGCATCAGAGTGTCATTTCCACTGCCAACAACATAAGAGTCTGAGAATAACCCAGTGCATGTAGGTGCAATGTACGCTCCTTATAACAGTCCTCCTGTTAATGGACTGACTCTGTGGTTACTTTGAGTTTACACTAGAAATGCTGTGGACACATTATGCAACATAACAACCAATACATGACAATATTTGCAATTAAACAATATAAGTGTTATATATATATATATATATATATATATATATTACCAAAGGCAAAAAAATATGTAGTTATAACTTTTATTCCCTCCCTCCCCCCAAAGAAAATTTGAATACAGAACAACCCGAAAGTTCAGATTCTTCCACATCAACTCAAACGGGATTGTCACAAAAAAACGGAAAGTGGGGGATAATCTGAACTCTAGTTTAAGCATGGACACATTTACTGAACATTTCCTGTTCTTCTTAGGTTAAAAACAAACACGAAACATCTACACTGGTGTGTTTTTCATAAAGGGAGTATTGCGATTTGTGCCTTTCATCAGTTAAGGGAAAAAAAAAAGAAAAAAAAAGGATGAGAAAGTTTCATGTTCCCCTGACGAGAGCTGTACAATTTACACAACGATGCCGAGATGACTGCTGAGAGAAACTGCAGGTCGGGAGGTTTCATCAGATATCAGACAGAAAACAGAAAAGAAACTTTAAAACGATAGCAGCAAATGATGTAAAGAATCAAAGGCAGCTGAAATAAACACACTTTTGTATCTGAACCAATCAAATCACAATGTGGTAACAGCGTGTAAGTCTGGCATCAGGAACTACCTGGTAAGATCAAAGTCACTTTCATTCTTTTTATACAGTTTGAAAATCTTTTTCCTCCATCAAATAAATGAATTCACGATGCGTCCAACTTCTGAGTGCCTGGGAGGAACCAAGATGGCCGACTGATTCCAAGAGATCTGCATGCCTACACAGCACTTTGAACTGAAAATATTAACAATATTTCCCATGTTGTTAATCTAAACGGTAGGGACCAATAACACAATTCTTTTTTAGTCGTGACGTTTTTTGTTTCAAATGAAATGAGTGCAGGTGGAAGAGAAAGTCTTAATCCTCATGTCCAACACACTGTGACACATCAGGACATCATGTTTATGTGTGTGTGTGCTTCCTAAGTTTGTGTGATGGAACTTTTTTTTTGTGTGTGTGTGTGTGTGTGTGTGTTTGTGTGTGTGTGTGTGTGTGTGTGTGTCAGCAGCTGTCCTCCAGAGCGTTCACGACTTGTTCCAAAATGTCAGGGCATCGGTCTGCGATCTGCTGCAGGACCTGGTTTGCGTACTCCTGGAGCTCCGCCCCCTCCCTCTCGCACAGTGCTAACTCTGCCTCCAACTGAGAGAGAGAGAGAGAGAGAGAGAGAGAGAGAGAGAGAAACAGAGAAAGAGACTTTCAACTTTAGTTTTCCTCGTGTACAGTTTTTTTGCAAAACTATTGTTAATCAAACTAGCACCACCTATGGCTTTATTATAAATTACGTAAACATGAGTGTGGTCTCAAGCTTCTCATCCCACTTGTGAGATCAAAGCAAGTAACCACATTTATATGAAGACCCCGTCCTTTAAATCCAATAATCACATGTTGTTCCTTTCAAATGATAAAGAGAAGCAGGAGCTTCAAACAGGAACGATTAATGCACATTTGAGCAAAGCACACAAACAGAGGCACAAGTACCACATGCTTGTTGATGTAGAGGCATGTTAAGGTGACACACACGCACGCACATACACACGCACATACATACACAAACACACACGCGCACCACCGATGCATATCAGACTAATCTGAAAACACTGCAGTGTAGTTCTTTCTGCCCGTACAGAGTGGAAAGTTTCTGTGAGAGAGCGCTGATGTTATTTTCTTTGGCTGCAGTCGAGCTGAGCCGTCAAACCTAACTGACTTAATGACCAATACATCTGTATCAATAAGAGCTGTGCTCAAACAGTCATGTAACACAAGCCCGTGTGTGTGTGTGTGTGTGTGTGTGTGTGTGTGTGTGTGTGTACGTGTGGGTGTGTTGAGTCCCGGGTCAGATATGGCAAAACATTTCCTTGTTAAGTCTTAACCTCTTCTCTCCGCTCTCATCTCTCAGCCAGCGAACATCAGAGCCATTACATATTACAGAGTCCGTATTCATGTGTAGAACTGCAGTGAGGTATAACACTGTTAATGATCAAGGAAATCTGCCCAATAAATCACTCAGATGTAGCCCTTAATCCCCTGAATCCATATATAATGTTGTTATAATTCTCTTACAATCTGAACTCTGAATAAAGAATCGTTTTTTGGCCAGTTTTAAAGAATTAACCTGCCGATGTTTTAGGACTACGTAATGTTAGATGAAGATTACTTGGATTCTTGGGTATTTGTTACACAACACCTGTGTTTCAACCTGTGTGTGGATGATTACCAGGCAAGCAGTTTCTTATCAAAGATGTTAGAACGGTGCATTCTGGGAAATGTAAGAGCTTGGGACATATATTAAAAATAGTCAGGATATCACGGATGGGCTGCATCAATTTTGACTTTTCTTAAAAAAGAAAAAGAAAAGCTTCCTGAATATAACCCCAATTTAAGGGAGAGTAAAACTGAATTGAGGAAGATTTCTTTAAATGTACATGTTTGTTTATACATATTTATTTGGTAATATTGAGACCATCATGTTAATAAAGCCTTCTGGAATTTTGTCTTGACATTTTCTTAAAATGAAAGTTATCAATGTGTTAATTAAACAGACGTATGTTGTATGCAATCGATCAAAAAGCCTGTATGTTTAAGATAAAAGAAAAAGCTGAGGAGAGGAGACAGGAGACACACACATATTTTGACAACATTCCCACGCGTCACTTTATGTGTGTTTGCAGGTAATTCAACTTAACGACTTTACATTTCAGCCACAATCCCCCAGAAAAACACCGCAGTAAAGATAAGACGGTAAGACGATAAATAGTTTAGTGTGTTTCTCTGCTCTTCTGCCTCTGACTCACACAGCCTTGACCTAGACGAGAGGGGTTTAAAACCAAAGACTAATACAGCCTATACCTACAATGAGAGCATGGGAAATACAACTAGGAGAGATAATGTGTTTAAATCAGGTTAAGGAACATTCTGCATATTACACCACTTCAATGTTACAGTGTAGTCTGTTTTATAAAAGGGAAAAGGGGGAATGGATTTTATCTGGCTTGTCTCAATCATTGTTTCAAATGAAATAAATCAAACTCTTCTTTATGTCTTCCTCTTTAAAACATACTTTACCGATCCAAAACAAAAATATAGGTAGTAAAATCTGTTTTGGAAATAGTCCTTCAAAATAAGACGGCAGTAATGTATTTATTTGTGTAGAAAATAAACATAAACGAAGAGTAAAGAAAATCTGAGTTCTTCTTATTTTATTCTAATCATGCACCCTGCAATCCATTGGATTTACTATGTGGCCCTTTAAATATGTCCATACCTGTAGATTTACAACCTCTGCTTCAAACCAACTTCTTCTGAGTAGAACTGAAGCTGGTTCATATCTTAAATTGCATGTGTAAGAACTTGTGCTGCAGTCAGTGACTGGACCACAAAGTAATCGGCGAAATCTCCCTTCAAAGATTTTTCATGTGATGTGGTTAAACCGAGAACATTTTGAAAAGCTGACTCGCTGTTTGATGTAATTCACCACATCCTTAAATCACTACAATGAACCCGGTAAGAAACCCGAGGAAGTAATCAGAATTGAATCCTCTGCAGGGGAAAGAAAAGTCCCCATGTATCGATTGTAAGAGTGTCTGTGTGTTAGGAGCTGCTTTTGTTTGTGTTTGATACCCTTGTTTAGACGTTTGACATGGCAGGTTATGTGTGAGGCTAAAGTGTATGTTGCATTGCAAGCTTATGTTATGAATTAGTGGGTGCAGAGGGGATGGATGGAAGCAGAGACAGAGAAGTAAAAAAAAAAAAAATGTGTGTGTCTTCGTGGGCATGTGAGGGTTTGTTAAAGATGATTTTTACTGCAGCCATTAAAGCTCCATTATCGTGATGGATCATTATCTGCCTTATCAGGGGGCCTAGATACACACACACACACACACACACACACACACACACACACACACACACACACACACACACACACACACACACACACACACACACACACACACACACACACACACACACACACACACACACACACACACACACACACACACACACGTTATCAGCTTAGATTGAGGTGAGGGTATGGTGCATCTGTGCATGTGTGATGTGTACACTGACCCCTTGACACACATTGCAGGGCTTGAACCTCTTTGCAGAGGAATGCTAATGTTTTCTAAAGGAACCATAACTCAGCAGAGAGAGATAGAGGCGCACAGATTAACACTGTGTCTGTAACTGCAGTGCATATGTCTCTCTGCTGCAGACACACATCTTACACGGTTACATGATTTACATTTTTCATTCATGTGCCTGAGGTCAGAGGTGTGCTTTTATTAAAGAGCTGTCTCTGTCCCCTCTTATCTGCATTTTAAATCAATCAAAAATTATATTTTCCAATTTATGAAATCCAGTCCCATGCCTCCATGATAATGGCTTCTTACACAGAGGGCCCACTGACTCACTTCACCCAAAAGAATTGCACCATGTGCTGCACAATTAATGTAGTAACTTTTAGATTCTTCTGCTGTTCAACATGAAAAAATGTTGTTTAGGAAACATGTACTAATTGCTAATAGAGCGTATTAAAGGAGCCAAAAATAACAAGACTAAGCAAATATAAATGGCATCAGGCACTTTCCCATTGAATAAAACAATCAATCAACAAATCAAGAAAAAATCTTTCACCTTCTAGATCTCTGTGGGAATAACATCAGTGTTTTACAACGTATATGATTGATATAAAGCTTTAAGTCCTATACTAAGAAATGCAGATGCAATTTTTTATTTTATTTTTTAAAGTAGGAGGCCCATTCTCCATCATTTTGATTTGCAAAAAGAAATGTTTTATCCAAATAAAACCAGCCCAGTGCATTGAATATTAATGTGAAATTGAAAGATATCATTAGCTTGTTGGCCAATTAATATTCTATATAATCATCCAGCAATCCCATAACTGCCTGAGCATTTTACTGACTGGAAAAAAAGCCTATAAGTAAAAGAGGTGTATATAGAGGAATATAAACTCTGAGGTGAGAAGGTCAACTGTGTCTGAAATCTTTTGAGAGCAAGTCAAGTTTAAACGTAGACAGAAGGGAGACATGTGAGAAAGAGACGGTGAGGGTCAGGACGCAGAGGCAGTCAGGAGGGCAGAGTGTGTAAATGCTCCTGAGCTGTGGTATAGAAACACTATTAAGAGTAAGAGCAAAGGGATAAAGTATAACAGTCCTGTATTGACTATTATAATCCCTGTCTCTCTGTCTGACTCTTTCAAAAACCTTAAGAGTCCATACAGGCTTACAGCGTGTGCAGACTGCTTTGTATATTGGCTTCCTGCAATGAGCCGAGCCCAAAGGCGCCGAGCTGTGTGACAAAATGTGTGTGTGTGTGTGTGTGTGTGTGTGTTGTAGTCTGGTGCAGTTGTAGTCCAGACAGCTGAGCTAACGAGCTGCAGAGGGAATAGAGCTGGAGGACTTGTACCAAAAACTGCTCCTTCAGGAGTGCAAATACTGCACTCCTTGAAGAGAAATACACCAAAATGGTTCAACATCACTCGATTATTTCCTTTTAAGTGGCTATTTAATCAGCCAAATAGGCTGCAGGAACATATTCACATTAAAAGGCTCGGCCCCTGGGAGGACGAGACCGAGAAATACATGCAGCTTCAAATCAGGAGGCCTCTCCTCAAAAGACTACAACTCCATGACAAACTTTTTGTTAAGGACGTGGAACTTAAATCTATTAGTTTAATTCTCCTAACGTTCCCCTTAGTGGATACTAATGTACTTTGAGCTACAAACAGAGGTGGAGTTGCTAGTGTGAGTAACTATAGTGGAATACCTTCACGGGGGCTTATAAAGCATATAAAAAAACATAAACTGCTCCTTTAGGAGTAACTATACACGGCAGGACTTACAGCACTAATGGCTGCAGAAATAAACAGCAGAAACAGACGCCAGCATTGACTGTGTATAGGTGTAACCTCCCAGCAGGCCAGTTTGAAAAAATAAAATAAAAAATAGAAGTAATTTGGTTCAATCTGATTCACAGTGTGAAGATTGTATACAAGATTTTGTAGTAGTGGTTTGTTTACTCGGAAAGGTGATGACGCTTTGGATAGAGCACAAATCAGAATTGAATGTAGAGAAGCAGAAGAAACAAAAAAAACAGAGAGACTTATTATCAGCTACTTA